GCCTCTTCTGGCAGGGTTGGATCGACCAGGCTCTGGGGCGGCATGCCGCGCTGAAATGGGGGCCACCTGGCCTGCGACGGTCGCGGGCCCGCGGGCCCGTGGCCATCGTGGACGCGATTATTATTTTTTGTTGCGACGCCGCCCTGTAGGCGGAGCAGGAGCTAGAACAGGTGCGCACCGATGCCCTGGCCAGCCACGCGGCCGCCGCCGCCGACACTACCGAAATGGGTGCCTGAGGAGCGCCCGCGGTAGAACCCTGGAGGAGGAGAAGGAGGACAGCAAGAGGAGGAGGGCCGTCCGTATCACTCTCATCACCACTGACATCACCATCGCTATCATCATCATCATCATCATCATCATCAACACCGCCAGTTTCGCCAAGCTCGTCATCACCCCCTCCGCCATCAACATCGCCGTCAACGTCTCGGTCAGAGGCGCCACGACCACCGTCATTATCACCAGCATCACCATCATCGCCATTACCGCTCCAGACCCAATCGCAGTGATGTCGAGGTAATGCTGCGCGGGCCATGGCACGTGTTGTCCATGTTGCGATTCGCTTGTTTTGGTCCCAGATGCGTTATGTTGCTTCATGGGTATGCCACTTGCGCCGCCTTCCTCTGGCTGCGGGTGGATCTGAAAGGGATGTGCCTTTGGGTTCGCCGTGCTTTCAGGGTTGAAGTTGCTCGATTGTTCAGGTGGGGGGGCAAGGCCGTAGGCTCTTGGCCGTGCTCAGGCCTGAAGGCTTCGATCCCATGTAAGATGCATTGTTTTCTTCGCCTCCTCTGCCAGACCCCCGCCCTCGTCGCTCCGTCGCCCTCGACCCCTCCGTAGCCGCGTTGACTCGAGCCGATCGCTGGTCCCTTTTTCGTTTCGTTCCGCGCCTGAGTGCGGAATCCACGGATGAGTTCGCTTCCATTCGAGCCGCCCCCTGAAACTGGGAACTCGGGCTTCGGGCCACCTAGGCAGAGGAGCGCGTCGGAGAGGCGGCACGCACCCCCCGAGTTGCCGCAGGATGGACCGTCAGAGTATTCGGTCCGCCCCCTGCCCATCGTCGTGGAGGTGGAGGATTCGGTCCCAGTGCCCCAAGCCGATGACGAAACTCCATTCGTGCCCCCGCCATCGGCCTCGCCCGCACCTCAGCAGCCTCAGCAGGCGCTGCCAGGTACGCCACCAATGCCGCCGCCCGACTACGATAGCCACAGCGCACCAGCAGAAGAGGCAACGGAGGCAGCTGCACCAACCGCACCAACAGCTGCATCAGCCGCAACATCGAACCCGCGTCGCAGGAGGGTCTTCGAGCAGACGTTCGAGTACGATTCCATGGAGGCCATGCCGAGGATCATCGCGTCCGATGCGTTCCATACGATGGTGACGCAGATCTCGCAACCGCTAGGAGAGGGCTACCCATCGACGAACTTCTTGAATCGGAAGCGCAGGTTTTCCGTCACATTCAAAGTGGAAGAGTCTTGGGACCCCGAAGAGAGCGAGAGTGATTAGGCATACCATCTGTCCTGAGGCGATAGCGATTAGGCATCACAGTCAAAGTGGAACAGATGTGGAACTCCGAAGTGAGCGAGAGCGATAGTGATTAGGCATGATAGTGACGACGCCACCCTGTGGAATCATGAGTCGCATATGCGTGACGTATGTATGGTGAAACTTTGACTGTGAATGCATGCGGTCACGCATATTGATTGCTTTGTGCGCATCCGCGCTACTGCCCTAGAGCTTGCGCGCGCCCTGGGCGCATTGCCACATTCGTTCGCGTTTTCTTGAGGTGTGCATCGTAGAGCGCGCCCGTTATATCCAGATATATGTGTCGGATGTCCGCTCGACTGTTTCGTTGGGCAGCTCGCCACGTGGAACCATCATCACTCGTCTCCAAGAGAAGCCCGCCCAAGGGCGCCAGCTGTAAGCATCAGTAGCTATCAATAACAGCCATCAGTAACCATCAGTACCCATCAGCATCATACCGCCATACCATATACTTCGGCACAGGGGGGTGCACATCAACCGAGGCCCGTGCGAGGCGTCAAGGCTCTGCAATACCCAGGGGAACCCAACGCGTGATAAGGAGGATGGGCGTGGGGAGAGGCCGATGCCGAAACGAGTTTCCCACGTAGGAGCGCGAGTTTGTGTGGCCTCCCCGAAGACGTGCTTCATAGGCTGTTCGCAATCGCCGCCCCATGGTAAGTTTGAGGCAGTGACCCTGTTGATGTGAAACCAGCGGGTGGTGGGAGGGTCGGCCCGTCGCGGCCTTTCGTGCAATTTCAGGGCCGTGCGGGCCCTTCCCGAACGGGTGCCCGCCCCAGGTTCAGGGTTGCCCTTGGCATCGGAACCCCGACCGAATCGATGCGGAGCCTCCTTCCGCCCGTGGATAGCCGTGTGGCGCAAACCCACCAGCCGCCTTTGCTGGCGAGTCTGGTGTTCGCTAGGCGGCCGCCATTGGTTGGCTTACCGCTGCGTTTCCCCAGCCCCCCTCATGCCACCCGCCCCCAGCCCCCAATACCGCCCAGAGCGGCCTCGCTCGTGTCCCTGTCCGTCGTCGTCACTCCATATCTCCCTGCCCTGATTCCCAACCCCTCTTCCTTCGCCCTTGTCTCCCTCCTCCCCCCTCCAAGCTCCCTCCGCCGTCCTCCGTCCTCCATCCTCCCTGCCCCCATCCTCCCTCTCCCCTTGCCCTTCCCACCTCCGCACGTCGCCCTCTTCCGTTTTTTCACGTTCTCCCCAGCGGGGCCTTGCGGTAGACCAACCAATCCCCTCCTGCGTATTTGGCGGGCATTTTGCTCGCGATGGCCGAGAAGAGCGACACCCGCAAGCGGATCCCAGCCAAGGCCTCGGGGTCGAGCTCGAAGAAGTGCAAGTCGTTCGCCAAGGGCGCCGACGAGGATGAGGCCTTCAAGGTCGAGTGGGAGCCCGTTCGCGAGAGGAAGTCGAGGGCTTCTACGCGGAAGTGCGGCCTGTGCAGGTCCATCAATAAGGACACCTGCGGATTGAAATCATTGGGTATACCCGAGCCCCCATCCCCAGTAGTTTGCACGGGGCGTTGTTTAGACAGCGGCAGTGCTTTGAAAGCTGCTGATACCCCCCTGGGCCCCGTGGCGGCCTCTAGCTAGCCCCCCCCCTCCCCGCCATCAGAATGTTGGGATGTGGATGCTAGGAGGGTTCGGTCACCAGTTCCTGTCTCGTCGCCCGCAGCTTCGGGGGTGGGCGGGGCCAGCAGGAGCACGAGCACCAGTTCGGCGTCGTCTCCCCCGCGGCCGACTCCGCCAAGGATCCAGTCGAGGCCCTGTGGATGTGCAAGCGCTGCTATGACTGGGTGCAGGAGGAGGTGCCCGACTGCGACGTGCGGGAGGTAGTGGATGAGCTGAATTCAGACGAGGCGAGGCGCAATGACGTGATGCGCTCGCTGGGCTTCGACGTGCCCGATGGCGACGGGGCCGAGGCTATGTGCGACGAGGTCGGCATGCCGCTGGAGCTCTCGTCGGGCGAGGAGGTCGGGTACCTCGTCGAGGAGTCGTTCGAGCTCTTGACCCGCACCGAGTTCCAGACCCTGGCCAACAAGAGCCCCGAGGCGGCGAAGGCGAAGGTGATCAAGAGGCGCTCCCCGACGGACGGGGAACTGGAGCTGCGATTCGCCTTTCCATTGCCTGGACGCCCTCGGCCACGTCTGACGGTATTCTCGAAGGTTTCGGCGACGGCCACGGTTAAGAAGACTAAGACGGGCATGATCGAGAAGTTCAGGGGCCATTGTTCGATCGCTTTCAAGAGCTTCGTGAAGAAAGTGATTGGCCCCACTGGCGCGGGGTCGCTGTCCCGCTTCTTGACGACCTTGGACGAGCACATCGGCAAGCAGGAGACCCCGACTAAGCCAGCTAAGCAGTCCGACCCCTCAGGGCCAGGGCAGGCGGATGCCAAGGCCGACGACGAGCTCAGCAGGGCCGTCGGTGGGCGCTTGGCCATCAAGGACGGGGTCATGACCGACGAGAGCGCCGCGGCCGATGGTCTGGGAGACAACGTTGTTGATGTCGATGCTATGGGCAACAACCACGAGATATTCCTCGGCATGCCTTCCGTAGTGATCCCCCCTAAGAGGCCGCAGTCGGATTCATTGAGCCCCCTCGGGACCGCCAAGCATTGGATCGATCGGTCCCCGCTGGCTGACGTGCTGCTCGGGGCCGAGTGCAAGAGGGAGCTGAACCAGCTCGGGCTCATCGAGAAGTCCAAGGAGGCCCCGCCGCTGCAGCGTGACAACGCTTCGCGGCACATGAACTTGATCAGGACGTGCTCCGAGCTCTGGCCATCCAATCTTGAGCGCATGAAGCGCGAGCGCAAGCGGGAGGTCCTGGAACTTGTGTCGCCAGCCATCGACGCGTGGCCGTCCTTCACCCAGATGTACCTCATCAACTTCGATACCAAGCCCCTCTGGGAGAACGTGCTGAAGATGGAGGGCCACCAGTCGGCCTTGATGAAGCTATGCGACATGCTCAAGGTTCTGGCTTTTTAATCTGAGCCAGCCCACCCCTCAGCGCCGCCCTTTGCATTCGTCCTCGCCTCCATCGCCCTCCATTCCACCTTCCCTCGCTCGTGGCCCCGTCCCCGAGCCACCGTCCCGAACCACAGTATGTTTCATTTGTTCTTCGCCGACCCCCGGCCCAGCTGTCACCTCCGCTCCCCCATCGCATGTCGCGCGTTTCCCTGTCCATCGTACGTCGCCCTATCTCAGCGCGCTCACCCGTTCCTCCACCCCCGTCCGATGACTCGTCCGCGTCGCACTCCACCATCCTACAGCCCCTCTGCTTCGTCGTCCCCCTTGCCCCCCCAACTCCCCTGCCTCCCGCATCGCCCCATCCCCCTCCACTGCCCTCTAACATATCCTCCCGCTCGTCGTCAGCGGCCCTTTCGCCGTCGACCGTCGTGTCCGCCCTGGCCCGCTGCCGCTGCCGCGCCCCCCATCCTCCCCTTAGGTGTGGACCACCGTGGGGGGCTCCCGCTGCATGGACATCCACGCGCTGACGATTCGGACCTCTACCATGACTGACGCGGAGAGGGCGGGCTACTTCCTGACAGAGGTGCTTCTGAACAACGTCGCGCAGTGGCTCCGTCATGGGGGGTCCGCGTCGGAGGCCGTCTTCTTCGTTGCCGAGAACGCGCCACCGCTTCTGCGGTTGCCAGAGGAGGTCGAGGATTGCGAGATCGGCCCCGCGTGCGCCAAGGCCCTCAGCGATTGCGAACGCATCTTCGCCGTGCTGGCCCTGATGAACGACATCAGGATTCCCGAGTCCACGCCCGCGCACGTGTTTGACGACATCGAGTTATTCGTGGTTTCCCAGGCGAGTGGTGGCGGCAGTGACATCTGGACCGTGGTGGCCAGGGCGGCCGACGACAGCACGCTGTGGCAGCACAAGGTGGCCAGCTTGCGCAAGACCGCGAAGGTATGCAAGCACTTCTACCCCGATATCACGAAGGTCTCCCAGGCGCTGGAGGTGATCGGCGATCAGCCCACAGTGGAGGCGTCGGAGGGCCTGGCCGAAGCTGCAACGAAGCTGGAATGGTTCGAGAAGGAGATTGGGACGGAGCCAGTGGAGAAGCTCTCATCGGCAATATTGGCAAAATTTATCTCTCACGTGAACGCCTTGCCGACTGGGGCGGGCGTTGAGGACATCCCGATGGCGACGACGGTCGTCGATAAGTACGTGGAGCTCGGGCAGTGCATCTCCAGGGTCATGCCTTTGGAGGACAAGGTCGCTGCGGCGAGGGAGGTCATCCTACGTGCGAAGTCGTCGTTGGCGGTGCAGGCGTCGGCCAAGAAGGCGTCTGCCTCCATCGAGATGTTCAAGACTGGCGAGTGTTCGTCCGAGGACGTTCGGAGCAACCTCGTGCGCATGACGAAGGCATCGGGGGGCGGCGGCGATGACGCCAACAAGATTAGCGACGAGGCCGCGAGCATCATCGACACGATCATCAGGAAGCCGTTCGACACAGTGCTGGCTGATGTGAAGAACCTTGCGGCGCTTGCTAAGGAGGCGGCGGGGCACGTGAGTCCGCCGCGCTCCGACTGGGCAGCAGGCGCCGCGAAGCTGCTGGAGCGCATGTCCGACTTGCGCAACGCGGCGTCGGCGATGGGCAACCCCGAGGACGGTTTGGAGGCGATCATCCACCAGGCCGACTTCGATAAGAAGCTGTCGACGCTGAGCCGCGCCATCAAGATGTTCGACACGGTGACAGTGGTCAAGGCCGATGATGACCTTGCATTGGCAACCCTGCAAGGTGAGGCGAAGCTGTGGCGCAACAAGCACGACGAGACCCGCACCTCGATGATGACGAAGCACTTGGAGATACTGAACTCGAACATCGGCCTCCTCGGTAACACAGTCGTGACCCTCTCCAAGTCGGCTGAGGCAGAGCAGTTCCTGACGGAGCTCGAGCATGCGCTCGACCTCAAGAGCGTCATGAAGGCGTTCAACGCCACCATCTCGGCCTACCAGTTTGACGACATGGACAAGGCAATCACATCCCTCGTGAAGGCGACGGCGGTGGGCGCAACATTCGCGCACGAGCGTGTGTGCGCGCCGCCATCCCACAACGCCCTCTCCATAGTTTCCCTTCTCAGTCCCCCTAGTCCCTAGTCTTCCACCTATCCCTTATGTGCCAGCTCTGCCCGTCTGCCTGCGCCCACCCCCAGATCGCATCCTCATCCTCGTCACCGTGCCCGTCCCCGCCCTCGCCACTCTCATCATCCTCATCTGCATCGCCATCGTCGCCATCGTCGTCGTCATTATCCTCGTCGTCGCCGTCGGCATCGTCATTGCCACCATCGCTCCCCAACCGAACCCTGAAGCCTTGCACGTATCCACCCGCTCTCTTTCGGCTCCCGCCGCAAGGCGACCTCCGAGCTGGAGGGGAAGGCAAAGGAGCACATGAGCTACGATGCCCAGAAGGATGCCATCACCACTGCGCAGGGCATCGCAGACCTCGCCTACGTGGTGATGTTCCGCGGGAGAGTCGCCAGGGCGTGGCACGGAGTGTCGAACACTGACACGGCGAAGGTCCGCTCGAGCTTGGTGGACGCCCAGAAGAGCATGGGCAAGCACGGCGTCACCCCCAGCAAGGTGCTGGGTGCCGTGCTCACGGGCGTGTTCCGCAAGGGCCTCCGTTCGGAGGTGGTATCGTGAGCGTGCAGCTGCGCGTTCCGCCCGAGGCCGCGTTGGCCTGGGCACCGCCGAGTTCGGGAGTCGGCGGAAGGGGTCCCTGGGGCACAGTGGGTTTGCTTTGCGTGCGTTCGTTCGGTTGCAGCGTCGGACATTCATTTCTTGATTCGTGGAGGCCTTTCGGCCATTCCGCAAGTCGCCCCCAGCTCTGGGTCAGTGTCGTGCAGCCCCTTCGCGGCTGAACTCGCATCGACGTTCGCGTCGAGGGTGCCGATGTCCCCTCCCTGTCAGGTGCCGCGCTGCGCTTCCGCGCAGTATATTTGGACGTCTATCCATTGCGTGTCGCGGGCCGCCGCCAGCCCATCCAGATGTGAGTGCTACGAGTGCCGAGGGGGGTGGCAGGGCGAGGCGCATCTAGTGAAACAGAGCAGCCAGCCAGGGTGAGCCGACACCGCTTCGGGAGCAATCGGTGGCGCAGGAGCGCCCTTCGGGTGAACCCCTGGGGCGCGCACTAGGGGGTACTGGGTGAGCGGCGCATTGGGGGCGAGGACGAGTGCAATGCTGAGGCGGGCCGCGACCGCGAGGATGAGGCGGACGACGAGGGCGAGGAATAGCATGCACGAGGATGCAGGATGAGGGTGATGTGGCAAGGGGGGATGATGTAGGCACTAATTCAAAGGTCTATCTAGGACGAGGTGGATGGTGATGCATGCGCGAACCGCTTGTTGCAGGAGCCCCTCGTTGCCATGTCGGAGTCTTATCGGGCCCTCTTGGCGCCCCCCCCCTCTGGCTCTCTGTGGGCATTCTCGCGACGCCACTTGCGCCCCCTATTGTCCCCCCAGGGGTTCTCTGGAGTTTCTCCTGGGATCTCCTGGAGCCCTGTTTGGGTGATCTGCTTGCCTCCCCCCTCTGGATCCCTAGAAGTCACCTGAGGGGTCCGCGGGCTATCAGTGCCGCCCTAGGGGCGACAGATAGCAAGAAGGACGTGATCACAGGTTGCGGTCCGTAGTTGTCACCCGCAGCTCCTGGTGTCATCAGTGCCGTTTCTCGGGGCCCACTAGGGGCCTTCTCCTGCATTAGTGGGGTCGCCTCGGGCGCGGCCTGCCCCCCATTGGGGCTGTCATGGGCAGCCTTTGGGCTCTCTTGCGGCCCGCGGGCCCGTCAGGCGCGATATGGCGGTGATGGTGGTAAGACAACGCATGCAGAACTACTGCGTCTTCGCAAGATGCGTGGGTCTTGGGGGGGGGGGGGGTCCCGCGTGAATTTCGAGCGCACTCGATGCCGTCCCGTTTCCTTGTTGGGGCTGTTCGACGGCGCGTTGGCCGATGTAGTGGACCAACTTTGGTCATCGCCACCCTCCCTGAACGCCGTCTCGGGTCATCGGGGGGGCCAGATTGGACCCATGCTTGGCCATCTTGTAAGCGGCAAACCGCGCGGCAGCCGCGTCCAAAAACATTTCGGCGTGATAAGGGGATGGGGTAGGGGGGGCTCCCCGAAGTTGACGAGTGGCTTCTGGAGGCAGAACACGGCAGACCAACCGCGTTCAACGTCCATGTGGGGTTAGTTGAATGGCTCGTGATACCATCAGCGCTGCGCGCGACGCCGCCAGCCAGTTCATACCCAGTTCGCAAGCGAACTGGCGTCGTCCTTGCACGGGCGGTTCCCAAAGAGGCTGTAGGGCGTTCTGGCACCCGTGGTCCGCCCCTGTCGCGCTAGTCGCGGGGGTCCGTCGGGGGCTTTCGGCGGGGCTCCCTGCGGTGCCACGATGCGTTGAGAGGGTGTGCCAAAATAGGCTGGCGGCGGCATGCGGCCATTCCCAGAGGGGCTTTCCGTGGAGCTCCGAACGGGGCCTCGGAACGTGTGCGGGGTGTGCCAGAGTGGGCGTGCGGCCGCATGCGCCCCCCCCCTGCTGGGCCCGAGGCGTCTCGGGCCATCACGAGGCCACCTGTGGGCACTGGGAACCTATGGGGCGCGCGAAGCCAGGAGGGGTGGCCGCCGCGGCTCGAATGGCGCGCCGCTGCTTGAGATGATTGGAGCTGCGCGTCCGAACTAGGGCGGTCAGGACCTTAGCAAGTGCGCGACCTCGCTGGCGCGCGCCCCCTGCCCATCACAGCGCAACTGGCGCGCTTTTCGCTGTTGCGCAGATACAACCTGTTCCCTTGGTTGCGAAACCAACTTTTAAATCTAACCAATTGTTTCTCCATTGGAAATTCTCTGGGTTGCGAAAACAATTTTTAAAGATAATAAATTGTTTTTGCACATGTCTCTCCCAGAACACCACAAAGACATTTTGTTGACATTTTGTAGCATTTCCAAGATTCGGGCCTCAGAAGGGCAACCAAGAATGCAAGGATAACAGACTCGTGTGAGCATGCCCAGGAGGCGTTTCGAGGCGCACCGCGGCCGAGGCCGAATGCCGAAGGCCAACGTCAACGTCGAGGCGTGCACAGGAGAGGAAAGGGCACACCCTGTAGGCTCGGTTAAGCAGCGCATCGTTGAGCGGCGCTGCGGGCCCCCCTGAGCAAACGCCCCACCCCCTCGGAGGAGGGGGGGCGATGACCAGAAGGGCCAGGAGTGGGGGGACGGGAAGGAGGAGGGGTGGCAATCACCTGGGATGGGTTGCGCGAAGAGCAGGGACAGGAGCGGGGGGGAATGGTCACGAGGAGGACGATGCAGGCGGGAAGACGGGGGGCTGCAGGGGCCGCCGTCACCCGAGGTGAGTTGACAGAGGCCAGGGGAGGGGAAGGAGCAGAGGGGTGGACGACGGCGAGAAGGACGGGGAAGGAGGGAAGAGAAGGAGTTGAGGAGAGCCCGCCGATCTCGCAGACGGGTTGCACAATGGGGGGCCTTCGCCCTGCCTCTCTCCCGCCCGCCCTCGGCATCCTCTCTTCGCGCGACCGGCGCGCGTGATTGGGCCGCGTGGTTTTATTTGACAGGGATCGCGCCCCCCCCGCCCCCCAACAGCACGCGCGCAAGGGAGTTCAAATGATTTGAAAGAGCGTGTTCTACCGTTGCTGGCAAAAAACCTGGGGGTTTCGCTTGGGGTTTCCAACCCATCCCCCCCCCCCCCTCTCCCCCCCCCTTGGTCCATCATGAAAAGGGGGGGGTCACTGCCGGTTCGACCCCCCCCCCCCGGAAAACCGGGGGGGTTCACTACCGGTTCGAACCCCCCCTCTCCCCTCCCCGCTCGCCCGCTCGCCGCAACGACTCCCCCTCCACTCCCACTCTGGATGGGGGACTGGTGGGGACAGTGGTTGGGACGGTGGTGGGGATGGTGGTAGGGGGTGTGGACAGTGGGAAGAGTGGGACCGTGGTGGGGACAGTGGTGAGAACAGGGGGGGCAGTGCGACAGTGGTAAGGGCACTGGCGGGGACAGTGGGAGCAGTGGTGGGGACTGTGGGGACATTGGGACAGTGGTGGGGACAATGGAGACAGTTGGACAGTGGTGGGGACGGTGGTGGTGGGACAGCATTGGGACAGTGGTGGGGACGGTGGTGGTGGGGACTCTGGTGAGGGCGGTGGTTAGGACTGTGGTGGGACAGTTGTACAGAAGGGAGAATGGTGACGAAAGTGGGGACAGTGGGACATTTGCGGAGACAGTGTGGACAGTGGGGCAGCACAGTGGGACAGCGGTGGGGCCAGTGGGAACAATTGGAAAGTGATGGGGACAGTGAGGACAGTGGGACAGTGGCGGGGACAGTTGGGACAGTGGGGAGAGTGGGATCGTGGTGGGGACAGTGCGACAGTAGTGGGGGCACTGGGGGAAAGTGGGGACAGTGGTGGGAACAGTGGGGGCAGTGGGACAGTGGACATCCCCGCAGCAGCATACTCCCCCTTCCTCTCTTAGCCTCATTTCTCCTTCACTCCTTCCTCCCTCCGCCTCCCTCACCCAGCATCCTGCCCCACAGAGTGGTATGAGGCCCCTCAAATCTGTTTTTTGTTCGAGGTCGACCCCCTTTCATTTCCTCCTGTCGCAGGGTTCGGCGTGCCCCAAAATGCGCTTCCGCTTCCCCCATCGCTCGCTGTCCGTTTTCTTCGCTCTCATTCCTGCTCTTGGTTCTCTTCCGTTTCCCGTTCCACCTCCTTCTCCTTCCTCTCCTCTTCCCTTTTCCCCGCTGCGTCATTGTCCCTCCTCCTCCTCGTCTCTCCTTCACGCCTTCCTCTCTCCGCCTCCCTCATGCATTTCCATCTCCCCCCTCCCTCATCCTCATTTCTCCTTCACTCCTTCCTCCCTCCTCCTCCTCCCTCACCCAGCATCCTGCCCCACTATGTGGTAGGAGGCTCAGCTTGAAAAAGAAGGACTCCCATAACATGTTATTTGTTTAAGGCCGACCCCCCTTCGGTTCCTCCTGTCTCAGGGCTTGGCGTGCCCCAAAGTGTGTTTCTGTTTCCCTCATCGCTTGGTGTCCGTTCTTTGTGTTCTCATTATTGTTCTTGGTTCTTTCCAGTTTCCCGTTCTACCTCCTTCTCCTTCCTCTCTTCCTTCTTTTTCCCCGCTGCGTCATGTTATCTTCCCTCCTCGTCTGTCCTTCACGTTGTTCTTTCTCCGCCTCCCTCATACGTATCCGTCCCCCCTCCCTCATCCTCATTTCTCCTTCACTCTTTCCTCCCTCCGCCTCCCTCACCAAGCATCTTGCCCCACTACGTGGTAGGAGACTCACCTTGACAAAAAACAAGGCTTTCATCAAGCCGTTTTTTTCAGGTCGACGCCCCCTCCCCTTCCGTTTCTTCTTGTCCAAGGCTTTGGCGTACCCCTGAGTGCGTTTCTTTTTCCCCATCCCTCGCTGTCCGTTTTCCCTGATCTCTCTTCCGCTCTTGGTTCTCCTCCGTCTCCCGTTCCACATCCTTCTCATTCCTCTCCTTCTATCTCCTTCCCGCTGCTGTATCTCCCCTTCTCCAAGAGGTCTCCAAGACGCCTCCTGAGGGCTGCCAGAGGGCCCCTTGTTGTTCTCTAGGCTTGCCTCTGATTTTCGCTCCCTCACTCCTCTGGTTGTCTCTTGTGTGCCCTCATTCCTCATGGCTTC